AGTTCAGATTTTATTGCAAACAGCATCTGAGCTTATATTCTTCAAACTGTCCTGCCTCCTTTGCTGGAAGCTTGTGTCTTCGCAGTGGGCCTACAATAAAGCAAGGCGAAAATTCATACACAGTGCCGCCCACACACATTTTCTCCACAAGCACTAAATAAAAACTGAGTTGACGATATCAAATCATCTTTCTTGCTGGTTATGGAACAAAAGTACGACAAAAATAATGACACAGCACCTATCTCAAAGAGGGCATATTTGAGTTATGGACCAACAGATTTGCTTAGTGTACATATACAGTCAACTCCTCTCAAACGGAACTGAAAGGGGATCCATAAAACTGTTCCATTTATCAGAAGTTTCATTTAAGCAAAGTACACCTATTTAGTGAATCAAAACTTTTATTCAAATTGCATAAACTTCACCTTACTCATGAGGATGAGTAGGAGAAAAAAAAAAAAGTGAAGGGGTTGTAAAAGTTCAAGAGCCTCTTTAGCTGATCGGTCTGGTGGCACCACTGCACTGGCAATATTGTCATCACATTCATCGCTGGAAGGTTGAACCTCATCTTGCACTTGGAAATCATTTTCTCGAGAGTCTCCACACGACAGGTACGAACATTTCATCAATTGATTCGTAGTCCTGCAGCGTCAAAGAGGCAGAGGGCACGACCTCACTGAATAGTGCCTCAATGTTGGCATCAGGAGGGCTTTCTTCATCAGGTACTGCTTCTTGCACTTGAAAGCCAGCATGATGAAAGCATCTGTGTATTTATTATTGTTGTCTTCACTTGCTCTCAGGCACAAACCAAAATATTGGTGGCTGCCAATAATTCTATGCTGTAGCATTTCCTGCTGTCTGCACAAAGCAGCATTCGATGGAGCAATTGTCTGTGGTAATGAAGTTTAATGCTCTGAATAATCCCTTCATCCATCGGCTGGATCACTGCCGTTGCATTGGCTGGCAATAACTCCAGAGTGATGGCTTGGAGAGTTTCAACCTGGCTGTGGGCTGGGCCACGATGAAGACAACCTTCCTGCCTTGCCTCGTAAATCTTGCGTCTTCCTCCCGTAGCCAGTTTTCGAAAATGGCCATGGTCATCCAAGGTTTTCCGTTCTCATGGTACGCAACGGAAAGGTGTCGAACGTCTCTGAAATAACGTGGGTGCCTTGATTTTCCTATTACCAACAGCTTCAATTTCTCATCTCCTGCCATGTATGCACCCACCAGCACATTGATGCGATCTTTACTGTGTTTTCCTCCGCTACAGGTTTTGCTTTGAAGGTGAGAATCTTTGATGGAAGCGCCTTGATGGAAGACGTCTCATGGCTCAAAGCTCATCAAAATTTTCTTAAACCACCCCTGTTGCCAGTCGGCGCAAATGTCCCTGTTGACTGCACCACTCTCACCTGAGATTGCTTTAAAGACTAGGCCATGGTGTGTTTTTTTGCGACTGAGCCATCCATCGCTTAGGACGAAGTTCTCAACACACATTTGCATGGCGATCTGTCAAGCTTTCTGCTCGAGAATTGGTATGCTTATGGGCAAATTGGAACTTCATGCATGCTTGAACCACAGAAAAAGCACTTTTTCTAGTTGTTCATAAGGCTTCGTCCACATCTGTTTATATGTAAAGGTCCTGTTCTTTACAGCAACTTCAATCTTTTCTCTGTCTTTGCAGATCCGCGACAGCGTTGATTTTGGGATGTTGTACTTTTTCGCCACCAAAGTCTTGGACAGGCCGCTTCGATTGAGCTCCTGAAGAATTTGCAGCATTTTTGAAGCGAGAGTGCATGGTGTGGTCGCTTACTTTCCTTCGGGCTGAAAAACATTGGGATCGACTGCACTTACCCGCACAAATAGGCCTAACACACAACTGACTCGCCGACTTGGCTGCCACAGCCACCACAAACGAGAATGGCTACTGGATTGGCTTGTCTCAAGGTGTTGCCATGGTTGAGACTACCTTTGGCCTGAGCGAGCCTATGCTGTGTTTAGAGTATGTGCCGTTTAACCGTAGGTGACCATTAAGCACTGTTTCGATTAACCGATGAATTTTATTGTGCAACACATAGAAAAGCGAAATGCTTTTTGTCATTGTTGAGCAAATTTCGGTGTGGTTTCACATGCCATTGAAGGGAAAAAACGAATACCCCTTGGCAAGCTGCACAAAATTTTATTGTGTTGCAACTGTGCAAGACTACAAAAGTCTACAGGGAACGTGTTTGTCGGCTCGCCTGTCTACCTCTCCAAGTACCCTTCCTCAATGACAAGCTGAAAGTGCGGAAACGCGACCAGCTGCCAGCAAAGGAAGACGTGAATGCGAGCGTCTGTCGGTGGTTTACGGTCGTGGCGTTTCCCGCGTAGAAAACCTGATCAATTTTTACTGTGCAAGTTGTAGTGCTTACTTTGCTCAAACTGTTTTTCGTTTTATGAATAAGTCAATTCTTTCACGAAATGTGAGACGATATACTCAACCTACTCGAAATACGATGGGTACTTACCTCACCAACATGGGGAGAAGTAGTCGGCTCCAAGCAATCTCGCTTCACTTGTGAAATCCAGCGTTTCCGTTGACTAGAGCAAGTAGGGAAATGGGACAGTCTCCAGATGGTTTTGCATTGTGTCACGCAGCACCTTGGCATTTGTACTCCGAAGTTCTTGTAGGTGCGCTTTACGCGAGGATGGTGTTGTAGCAGAGGCTAGGTCTATGGTGTAGTCAAACGCAGCTCATACTGCAGCTTGCACACCCGCGCCAACATGCAGCTGGTGCAGTGGGGCGGAACAGGAACGCCTTGCCGCGCGAACCAACATGGCACTTGTTGCCATGGAAACCGGAACTGGCAACATTGTGTTTTTGCAGGCGGCGGCAAGTGGTGGGTGAAATGCTGACACCACCCTAAAACATGGAGACGCGCGCATATTAAGGCTCCCTAGCAGTGGCACTGTGTCTCACTTTCTCTTCTGGCGAGAGGCTGTTTGCAGGGGTGGAAGGGTTGTGCCATTCTGTGACAATATGACCTGCTGTGCATAAACTGCAATTTGCCCATGCAACGCCAAATTTAGCAGAGTCTTATCGACCGAGCAACATGCGTTGGACACCCAAAGGACGCAGCTGCATTCATATCTCGTGTAGTTTGGTCATGTCGTATTTCCGTTCATGAACCGTGCTTGCACCATGCATGAGTTCAACACCGTGCGTGAATCTTGCGCCACATGAACAAAATACATTAATTTTGTTGAAGTGGCATTTGTGTACAGACCTCAATGTGGCTCTGTCTTTGAATGGCGAAGCTGTTAGTCGGTCAATCAAGACTGCAGTGGTGTTGCAAAAATCTTGGGGTGCCGTTGCAGAGCCACCATTGAGCACTGTGGTCTCCATCACATGTGCTCTGCGATTGAGACCTTCAAATAGAAAATAAATGAAATTAAAATCAGTTTCACCGCAAGAGTGAAGCGATAAATGCAACAGCAACAAATTTCAATGTTGTAATTGTAATGCTGTTCGAGCAACCCCCCTCTACCCACCCCTTTATGTTCGTTGAAGACTGGTCGCACATTTCCTCTCCCCTTGAGCATTCGACAGCAGTTCTGACACGTGGCGGAATGTCCTCGCGTGCACCCTCCGAGCGACTGAGATGGGCCACTTCGTTTATACTCTGCAGTGTCAGTCGCCCCAAGCTTGCATGATTTTACCGGCTGGTAGAACTTACGATGCGCGGGGGATATTACCAACTTGGGGTTTACGTGGAACATCACAGTGAAAGCTAAAATTTGTTGAAAGTGTCCATATACAGTAATTGTTATCGCAATAAATAAAACATTTCGTGCCATCACTAAGCATCGGCGTGGTGAGTACATTTATATTTTCCTCGCAGCTCTGATGTCGATACTGGCACTTTAATGACTGGAACATAAGTTCTTTAATGAAAATCTTTATACTCGTATTGGTTTAAAATGAAGATAACATTTGTTAGCTCATCTCTGGTCTTGAGTTGTTGTGTGATGCGGCGTTTTAATCGGATGTTTAACATTCCTACATTTTAGCAGTAACGATTTTCATTCGTCCGAGGTCTAGTAGCTACCCAAAGCATCGCTTATGTTTTTATTTGAGTTGCTGCATTTTCAGTGTCGGTCACTTCATCAGCATGGGACGTTCAGTTAAAACGGCTGGAACCATTGGTTTTAGCAGAAAGAGAAAATTGATCAACAGTGATGTGTTGCTGCAACTTTCATTGCTGCAAAACACACCTTTTGGTGCTTCAAAGCTGCTTCGAAACACCCCATTTACTGCTTCAAAACTGCATTATTCTTCCTTCCTGGGCTGCTTCAAAAGACCGAAGCCCTCTTCCACCCCTGTGTTAGCAATGCGGTTTCGTTTCCATGTGTGGGCAAAAGTTGGGAATTAACGATTCGCTTGCACATGCTTCAACTAAGTAGTGCTGCTATTGGCAAGAATAATTTAATCTACTTTCCTTGAAGAAGTACAAGGTCGTGTAGTGGGCTTATGCAGGCGGTCTGCACCTGTTATTTTGTGCAAGGCCGAGTGTCACTGCCTGTATTCTTAGTTTTTCTATTATACAATGCCCAGGTTATACAGCGGTTTTGTGTGGTCCCGTAAAAGTCATATAATTGTGGTTCCACTGTATTTGTTAAACATTATTATTTAGCCCAGATATTGCATAAAGCTCTGTGTTAATATGTACGAAAGTCTATTTTTTCTATGTTCTCGGCTATTGGCTGCTTCGGAATTGGGGTCACATTTGCTATGTCTTGCGAGACTGGGTGTATGGGCTCATGTAGGTGCGACAGTATAGATGGCACTGCGCTAAGCACGCCGTCTTCAAGCACCTTAAATGCCACCTGCACCAACTTCTGTGACCCTAATGACACGAAATCTTCTCTGATGGAGTGTGCTGTGAGAGCTGGCGGCCTAAAAGTGCTCCCTCATTTTCGGAAGAAAGTGGCCATGCTGTGGTGACCGTTCTTTTCCATTGCAGGGTTGACAGATGACATTCGCTCAAACTTCAGCATCATGAAGGACCTGGCCAGCGAAATGAAGTTGGACCCCGCCAAGCGTGTGGCCAACCTGAACGAATTCATGCGGAATATGAGCAGGTGTGTGGATGAGTGTTTCCTGCATTCACCTAGATCTTTTGAGATGGCGTGAAAAGGATCTTGGTTTCCTTGCTATTTGTACGCCTGCCTATGTCTTGTATACTTTTCCTGGATTGGTTAGCTATGCAGACCTGATTACCTACCACTTCGGGCTTAGTTGCTTGTAATTTCCTACTAAGCACAGTGTTACACTTCAATCTCGATAAAACGAACCTGGATATAACAAAATATCGGCTCTGGCGAAGTAAATGAGAGATGGTCTTTCGATAGTGTTAGGAACAAATCTTTAAACTAGTTTTTGGATATAATGAACTTATTTTCTTATAAGATGCAACTTTGTTATAGTGAGGGTTAAGTGTAGTAAACTTTCTGGGAGCAAAAGACGAGGGAGACATTATTACTTTTATATAGCTGTACATAAATGTTCATTAAAGAACCACGTGTGCCATATTGAATGTAGTTATGCTGACAAGAAGTGTTGGAATGTTTTATTAGAGTTTGAAACATTGCAGCCTAAATGTTAGGGTCCACCCTTTCCTGGTGCTTCGAAAGAAGTGAGCAGCTCTGCTTTCAACATTTTCCGCTAAGACATGCAGTGCTTGTGTTCAGGAAGCTCCACCGCCATTTCATTATTCAACATATTTGCACTTTTCTGCAGGCATCCACAAGTCCAAAAGGAAATGGGCCAGTGGGGTCTGAAGTTCTCGGAGAGCCTCGTTGAAATTGATGCTCGTCAAGTGCAGCCTGAAAGAGTGATTCATGGAAACAACATCAGGGTATACTTTTTTTCTTTTCATCAACGTTTATTAGTGTCAACATATTAGTAGCATTGCTCATTACCCCGATAAGTTCATTGATGCGACTTTTGTCAAGTGTAAATTTCATGTACTTGCTCTCGTTTATAGTATGATTATTGGGACATGCCACCTAAAATTGGCGATGATGTCGTGGGCTCTATTTGTTTGTACTCTTTGGTGTTGTGCGTGGCGCTAAATCGACCCTGTGCCTGTGTTCATGTGAAATCGAGCACCCTTGCTGCAACACTGCAAGACCTACTGTGGCTTTGCCGTTACACAAAAGTGTGCGAGAGTATGGACAATTTTAAAGCACCTTGCACAAGGTGCCCAGCAGCAGTTTACATTTGAATAGTGCGATGGTGGTGTATTTCCGAGAGAGTAGGTGTAGATGCTATATAGGTGTTTCTTGCCCTCTTGCTGGCTTCCTACTTCTTTCATTCGTGTCGAAAGACTGGCAGCATTGACTTTTTTTTCTCTAAAATTGCTCTATTTGCCTCCTCGTCTTTCAGTCCAATGTGAACCCCATGACTGCAGACTTCTCGCGGGAGATGCGTGACAAGACGATGTTCAAGGCTGTCCAGATCCGGTCCTGGGTGGTTGTGTGCACTCGTCGTGACATGCAGAATGCTCAGGACTTTGTACGTGAGCTGATGTGTGTTGGACCGCCAATGGGAGTGACCATGCAGCAGCCGCAGTTGTACGTATTGAAGCAGCTCAAGTGAATTTACACTCAAAACCTATTATAATGAAGTTGGAGGGGAGCCACAATTATTTCGTTACCGTAATTACTCGAATCTAACGCGCCACCTTTTTTTTCGGTTAAGCGAGTCCATAATCGCACGTGCGTTAGAATCGAGTACGAAAAAAAAAAAAAATGAATACGGATGATTCTATTGCCATCGGCATTTCCACAATGGCCGCCCCCTACGTGCGTTGGCATGGCGCGTCGGCTATTTCTGCCTATGTGTTTCCCATGTGCGGCACTTCGTACATGTGCTGAGGAGTTCGTCATCTTGTAGTGCATTAGCATCGACGGCATGGAAGGGCCGACTCCAAAAACTCGACGAGTGCACCACGATGCTGCTTTTAAAAGAAACGTCATCGCGTGTGCCGAAACGGACGTAAATCTGGCCGCATCGCGGTCGTTCAGAGTTCCCGAAACGTGCGTGCGGAACTGGCGGAAACAAAAGCAGATGGTCGACAGCAAAGATTCACTCAAAGGCTTCATTGGACCACAGCAGGGTCGGTTTCCGCAAATTGAAGAGCTGCTCGACGAGTATGTGATTGAGCAGTGAGCGGCACAGCGGCCCGTGACGACAGATCTGCTCCAAGTGCAGGCTATCCAGTTAGCCTTAAAAAAAGGGCTAATGCGGAGCCAGTTTAAAGCGAGCAGGTGCTGGCTGACTAACTTTATGAAGAGGAAAGGCTTTTCCCTCCGAAGGCGAACGGGCATATGTGAAAAGTTTCCGGAGGAGTACGATGAAAAGCTTCACAGTTTTCAGAGGTTCATCCTAAACTTGCGGCACAACAACGGCTACCTGCTTGGGCAAATCGGGTATGCCGATCAGACGCCTCTTCGACATGCCTGGCACCACAACCGTCGAGAAGGGGGCGAAGCAAGTTCGCGTGCTGACATCGGGCCACGGTAAAACTAGAGTGACTGCAATGCTCCGTTGCACGTCAGATAGGCACAAGCTTCCCCCGTACCCCATATTTGAACGGAAGATGCTTCCAAAAAGAGTAGTTTTTTCGAGTGGTGTGATCGTGCGGGCCAACGAGAAAAATGGGTGCGCGTTGCAATCGATGTCTTATTTTTTTTTTTTTTTCGTCGTGGAAACTGGGTGCACGTTACAATCGAGGGCGCGTAGAATCGAGTAAATACGGTATATCCATTATTTTTTATTATCGATTATAACAGTTTGTGGCAATGTATGCTCAGATGGGCACACACCTTAAAAATGCAAAGAAGGAAACTGCCTCGCGGCTCGATGTAACGCTACGCAACCACTTGGCGACGGAAAATAAACACAGTCGAACCTCATTAATTCGAACTTGCGCTGAGGTCCCGTCAAAGCTATGTGTATTCCAATGGGCGAAAACGCCCTGTAATTCAAATGCACAAGCACTTGCGATGGTTAATTCGAACATACTGCGCTCAGAAAATGCTCTCAGCACCATGCCCAATCCTGCAGCAGCACCTCTCAATCGCTGCGTGCGAAGAAGAAAAAGAAGAAAAGACTGCGGTGGATTGTTTGCTCTCTCTCAAATGCCAATCTGCAACGTGCCTGTGCCACGCTTCTCCCTTTTCTGTCTCTGCACGTACAGACTCTTCTCCTTTCAAAGCCGTGCATGGTGAGAGAGAGGAAAAAAAAATGAAAAGCTGTCGTGGAGAGTCCTCCTTTCTCGGTAGAGAGGGTAGCAGCCATGGTAGCAGTGGAGACGCAGTCGTTGCCGTCGGAAGAGGACAATCGCTTTGCACCGCGGCGCCGCTTCTCCGTCATGTGACCCACACAGCACTTCCTCAATCCTCTCTGCTGGCTGTGTGAGGAGGACCGGCGCGGGAGGTTTGAAATAGCCCCGCCGGACGAGCATCAAACTCCACAGAAAACGATATACAGTCGGATCTCGATAATTCGAACTCGGAGGGACTCAAAAATTTGTTCGAATTAAGAAGTTTGAAATAATGAAAGGCAAATAAACCGAGGGCTCTACATGCAGTGGTGCATGTGCATTGAGCTAACACTCGAAGGGGAAGTTTCAGAAGACTTATATTTATACACAAATCACAGAACATCCGTTATTAATTGAAGTAATCGGTGATGCGCGTCTGCACACGTTTGCCTTGCAGCAAGTCAATCAATTTCGCATGCAGCTTCCCAAGCATCTCTTCTTTGGCTTCAGCATTCTCCTGGCAAGAAAAGTTGCAAGTGAAAATGTCCACAGCCGACACTTTCTAAAGACTATGACAACGACGACTGCTGCGTAGCAGAGCCTCGCACTCTCTGCTACGCAGTCGCAGCATGGGCAGCATGTGACGAGAAAGGAGGAGCATGTCCACGCGGCAAGAAGCAGATCAGTATTTCAGAGAAGACCAACACTCCACGACAGCCTTTTTTTTTTTTTGCTCTCTTTTTCCGCGCACGTCATTAAAAGAAGGGCTACAAAGGAGGGAAGGGAAAGGAAGCGTTGCACCAGCTCATGAGAAACCCCTCCCCCGCTTCTTTTCAAGGCCCAGAGCCATGCTCCCGCAAGGGGCAAGGGCTGCAGAAGATAGTGCCTTTATCTTTCTCTTCAACCACACAATCATTCAACTCAGTGACGGCTTTCATTCTTTTTCCCTCTCTTTGCGCACGGTGTTGGAAGGAGGAGGGTCTTGACATGGCAGGGACAAAAAAGAGAGAGGCGTGACAGGGGCGCGTCGCAGATCGGCGCAGCACGGTATGTTCGAATTAACCGTCGATAGTGCTTGCGCATTCGAATTCCCGGGCGTTTTCGTCCATTGGAATGCACATGGCGTTGACGAAACCTTATGAGTTCGAATTAACCGGAAGTTCGAATTAAGTGTTTTCGAATTGATGAGATTCGACTGTACTTAACACACTATGGTTTATTTTCTTCGATAGACTTATTTAGTTCTTCATATCCATCTACCAGTCAATTTTACTTCGTTACAACGGGGTTTAAAATGCCTGGATCTCAATGGAGCTTTCAAGGGGAATTTCAGTTACTTAGTTACTATCCATTATTTAGTTATATTCCATTACATTATAACGAGGTTTGAGTGTAATTGAATTTCATGCGTGTAGTGATTTCCTCTGGTTGAAAAGTACCCATGCGAAAAGGATGCGTAGCTTGGGAAAGGGGCACTGCGCCTTAATTGCAGCCTGGGTAGCAGGCCCCAAAACATTTTCATTGTTAGTCATCAATGCATAATGGTTGTCGAGAATTGTAGTCCGTGTACAATGCAGTATTAAATGTTGTGCAACTCGTAATGTTCGTTGAGAATATTTACTCACAGCGTGTATTCGATCTGCCACTCTTCTATAAAAGAAGTGGGATGGCAAGCCGCAGTTTATGCTCAGCCGTCATGGAAGCATAGGATGCATGCAATAGTCAGAAAGGCTAGCGTTGCACGATGCCTATTCAAGTTCTAAAGTAACTCGCAGAAAAAGTGTTGAATACGGTGGAAAGTGATGAGCTCTACACAGCCCAGCTGGCTCTTTTCTTCTGTATTGGAGATGGATGTTTACATCCAGTGGTGGGTCAGTTACTTTTATTGAAGCGAGGTCTTGAATACATAAAGCTCTGCAGACGTGAAGGAATTTAGCACTTCATTCAGTGGTCTCTTAGCTGTAGCATGCTATGGCTTCCTTTTTGTACCCACAGTTTGACTTTTCTTTCCTTGCAGAGTTGCTCTGGATGATGACCGTGTCGGCAGCTACATAATGGCCTCAAGAATATTCCCAGGGAAACCGAGATGCTGATGGCAGTGTTTCCGAACAATCGAAAGGATCGTTACGACAGTCTCAAGAAGGTGGCCTGTGTAGACATGGGACGTAAGTGGTTCAGCTTTGACGCAGTGTGCTTGGTGTCCCTTGTATCAGATCATTACCCTGTGCAGCTCTAAGTTTCGTCATTGTGCCTTTGTTGCAGTGCACACGCAAGTGATGCTGGGAAGAACCATCAGCAACAAGAAAAATCTGAAGTCCGTAGCTACTAAAGTTGCCATTCAGATGAACTGCAAGCTTGGTGGAGAAGCTTGGGCTGTCGAGATCCCGGTATGGACTCTCTCCCTCTTGAGCGGCTGCTGCGTCCTTTAGGCTGTCCTACTGCTATAGGCAGACGTGTAGTAGAACATTTGTTTTGGGCAAGCTGGTTCATGGTCATAATTTGGAGGGGGTGCTGCGCTAAGAAACGCACAACAAAGATGCGTAGTAAACACCACAAGCACCGAAACCACAGTCCCTGTGTTGTCTACTACGTGTATGTGTTTCTCAGCGTGGCACCCTCTTACAAAAAGCAGAGGCTGGTGGCTTGTGTAAGTGTACGTTTGCGTGCTTTAGTGACAAGCGCTAAAGATGCTCATGGTGAGAAGCTTCTGGCCTTTGTTTTAGGTTTGTCTAAACTGAACTTCTCTAGTAACAATATTAGCATGTAGTCGGTGTAGATGCGAGTTCATTATCACTAGGTTATCGAATTTCCTTACTTGCCTGTTAATTTTTTTTACTTAACTGTTGTTTCATTAAGGGGGGGCGCGGCAAGTAAAGTGCCGATTTTGGTCAAAATATGCGATTTTCTGATTTATTTTTTTTCGTAATCTTCAGACCTTCAACTTCCTTGTTCTAAAATATTACAGCAAAACGTGCGCTACAAATCCCGCAAATAGTGTTTTTGCCGAGGCTAGTCGCCGAAAAGTGCGAAAAAAAAGCCCCTGAAACGGTGTTGTTCACGCCGCACAAACGCGCCAAGTTGTTGACCGTGGGCCGCCATTTTGGTAGCTTTGGAAAGAGGAGAAAGCCGGCTTCCCGATGGTCGCGGTCTCGTATTTCGCCGAGTGAAAATAAAAGCGCGAGGAGCAAGTAAAAAAAGGAAAACGAAGAACGGCAATTGGCTGCGCGGGTCACGTGGTAGCAGGCGCGACCTCTTACTGGTCAAAGCTGCGCCGCGCACCTTGGCAACCTTGGAAACGCGAGCGCATCTGCGGCCGCCGTGTCGAGAATCATCCGACGTGCGCTTCGTTTTTTGCCAGTTTGCTGTTTTTGTGATAGTTCGCGTGCTTTTTTTACCAAGCTTTGTTTACATCGGTGGTCTCTTCTGAGTGCTTGCTCATACTGCGGTGCTAGTGTTGTCCGCAAAAAAAGTTCCGGAGCGTCCACAAGTACGGCAAGCGTCGGAAAGCTTGGAACAAAGGGCAGACGACTGCGGCTGCCGTCCCAGTCGCAGTTCCGGACGGAGCATGCTCTTCAAGCGTCACGGAGCCTCTACTCAGACCCTTCGCTGATTGTTGTGAGGCCGAGAGTGTGGAAGGTGCCACATCGTCGTATGTCAGACCGCCGGATGCCGTCGACCGTGATGGACGCTCTCGTGAACCCGATTGCGGTGGCACCGCGTCGGCAGCCGTTGCAACTCCGGGCGTGCGCGCGTCGAACATTCTATCGCGAGTTTCGGCCCAGATTCCGAGCAGTGAAGAAATCGCGCAGCGGGCGCAGACAAGGCAGGATGTTTTGGATGCCGTAGCATCGAAGTCCGCTTCAAAGCGGAAGCTCGAGCTTCTGAACGAAGGCTGCGACGAAAATGACGGCGGTAAGGACTCCACATTCTTCATTGTAAATAAGAAGATGCTGAACGGTCTGCTTTCGTCAGTAAAGTGCGACGAAGGGTCGATACGCCTCGAGACTACGCACTGCCTTGGACTCGCGGCGAGGATGGAACTTTTTTGCGACAATTGTGGCATAGTGAACAGTGCGTGGTCGTCCCCGAGGTGCACCGGGCAACAAAAAACGAACCCCTTTGAGGTAAACGTGCGTGCTTTGAGGGCTGTGCAGTCAGTTGGCAGAAAAAAATCTGCCATAAATGACATTTTTTCTGCGATGGACATTTCGCATCGAGCACTGCACCACAAGTCCTACCAGAGACTGCAAAGGAAGTACAGCCACCCTGCCACCACATCAGCTGCCACCCGCATTGAAGCAGAAAGTGCACAGAAGGTGCATGACATTTACAAGGACCTAGGAGGAGTGCCAGGCAACATTGACGTCATTTACGACGGCACGTGGATGACGAGGGGGCACAGAAGTCATATTGGCGTGGGCTGTGTAATCGAGCTGTACACAGGCTTGGTCTTGGACCACTGTGTCCTGTCCAACTACTGCCAAGGCTGTGCTGTTGGCCCCAAGCCTGGTGACGACAACTATGAGGAGTGGCTTGAGAAACACAAGCCACAGTGCCAAAAGAACACCGATGCTAATGCAGGCCAAATGGAAGTAGAAGCAGCGAGGATCATGTTTGAAAGATCGTTTACCAAGTACAAGCTTCGATATATCAATGTGCTCTGCGACGGTGACAGCCGTACGTACCTTGCCCTCACGCAAGACAAGGTGTATGGCTACATGTTGATTAAGAAACAGGAGTGTGTGAACCATGTGAAAAAAAGAATGGGCACTTTGTTGGTGGACCGTCCTATGTACGGCTGACGCAGAAGCCTATAGCTAATGTTTCAGCCGCACACAGTCGTTCCGTGCACGGTTAACGTCCCCCAACCGTAGCTTGCCTCATTGCAGCTACTACTACGGGTTCGGGCGAATAAGGCAACTGGCCAGATCAACAACAAACACTTTATTGCTAAGCGTTAGCAATCGCGCGTCACTGTCGCGGGGAGATACTACAGATAACAAAGGTGTTGACGCTTACACCTCGGTCGTGGACGTCCTCGGCTCGCAGGAGGGGTTGCGGGTTCGTCCTCCTGGGATGGTCGCTGGTGTCAGAGAGCGAGCGCCCGTTTGCCCGCTCGTTTTGTTCCCCGACCCGATTTCCCTTTCCCTGACGAGAATGGTACCTTTCCTCGCTGAGGGAGAGGGGAACCTGTTCCTGGCGCCGGGAAAGGGGGGGGAATCGCACGCGCCGGCCGTGGGGGAAGGGGTCCCCGCAACCAGGCGCGTGCGCTGCCCTAAAAGGGAAAGGGAGGCTGGGCGCACCTGCTCCCCACATCTCCTCCCCCCTTAAGAAGGCCCCCGAACGACAGAGACTGCAAAGAGGGAATAATTCGTTTTATTCGTCCTCTAGATAGGCCAGAAGGGCCTGGTCTACGTCCATGCCCTCGGACCGTTCGGTGTCTGCCGCGGGCACCGCCGGAGCCCCCACCGCTCTCTCACCCGCCTCCAAGGTCATTGACGCCACCTCCGGTGTCAATGCAGCCGCCACCAATGTCTCTCCCGGCCCCGCCGCCCCCCGCTCTACGGTAGCCGTTATTGATAGCGGCGCAGGCGGACTCTCGCTGGACGCGTGGCCTGAGGCAACTCTCAGCAGCCACTGCGCGAAGTCCGCCTCCTGGGCCGCCCGCGCCAGCATGGCCCGAACCGCGGCGCCGGAGCGCTCCTGGGATGATTCGCGGCTGGATGGTTGGGTAGCCTGGGTGCGGTGCCGGTGTAATTTCCCCAATTCGTGGGAGTTATGGATCACCACGGCGCCGCACTCGCAGAACCGCGTCCCTGCGGGCACTGGAAGGCAAGCCCCGTTAGCCCTCCGGTCCGCGTCCTCTACCGTGCGCCCCTAAAAAGGGCGATACAGGTGCGCTGGGGCGACCCCAACTCGGGCCCTTTCCTGCCGGCGCCAGGGCCTCGAGGAGACGTAAGACACCGGAGGGTCGCCTCCATCCTGGCTGGTCCAGGTTGCCACGTCTCGGTGGTTGCGGCCGTGAGGCGATGCGGTCGGCTCGCCGCGTTGGGACCCTGGTCTCGTTCCCTGTGAACCGGCGGGTCGTGATGGTGACGGCGAAGCCGAGAGTTGGTGACCAGGCGGCAGCGCGCGCGGACCCCCTCGGTGGCGGCGGCTCGAGTGGCTCTGCCTCGGCGTTCGCGGCCGGGCCGCAGTGGGGTAGGGCTGCCATGTGGACGTTGGTGGGGGTGGGGGCTGGCCGTAAGGAGGTGGTCTCCTCTCCTTGCTGTTCCGGCGGTGCTGTTCCCAATGGCGCTCCATCTGTTCGGTGAGAGTGATACAGATAAAGAACGACAGGTTAACAATCGCACATGTGTTGCGCGCTAACCCTTGCACCCCGCGTCGAACATATCAAACGCGGCCTACCGTGCATAGTTGCCTCCGACTGTTACGCAGGAAGTAGCGCGGTTCTGGCTCCTGACCCGGTGTCGAACCATCTCACCCGCCGCGCGCGGCTTGGAGGGGGACTGACCGTAGTCCTCATGCGCCTCCCGTGCTATGTAGCGTTTCAAGTCACATACATGCACCGGTCCGCCGCTCGGTTTGCCTTTCATGTTCGCGAGTCGATAAACGAGCGAAGAAACTTTCTCTCGCACTCGGTACGGCCCGGACCATTTCGGTGCCAGCGAGGCAGCAAACTGTTTGCTAGCATTACTGAGAACATGATGGCGCCGCATCACCAGATCGCCCACTTCGTAGTGTACGTTCCTACGCGTGCGGTCATACTGCGCCTTCTGCTGTGCCCTAGCAGTGCGGAGATTATGTCGAGCTTTATGTAAAGCTTCCGCTAGCTTCTCGCGCAGCTGCGTTGCGTATTCAGCGCGTGCTGATGTCGCCACTGGCACTCCACTGCGGTCCGCGAGTACGGTCTCCATCGGATTCGGCAGTTCTCTCCCCAAGTTCAGAGAAGAAGGCGCATACCCAGTCGATCGGTTTACGGTCGATCGTAATGCAAAACCGATCTCTGGAAGATAGGTATCCCAGTCCTTATGTCTTTCAGAGAACGCGACAAGCATGTGCTTGATGTTGCGATTGACTCGCTCCGTGGGGTTCGACTGAGCATGGTAGGTGGTTGTTTTCTTGTGCTTAATGCCCAACGCGGCGCACGTGTCAACAAACACCTTCGCAGTGAAATAAGACGCGTTGTCTGTAATCAACTGCTCGGGGAACCCGAACCTGGTAAAAACCTCCATCAACTTCTCTAAAATCACTCGAGCCGTCAGCTTCCTAAGGGGAAAAAGTTCTACCCATTTAGTGAAGTGATCCGTGATCACCAGCAAGAACTTATTTCTGCTAGGAGTTGAGGGGTACGGGCCCATTACGTCACACGCTGCGATTTGCCAGG